CGTTTGGTGAAACCGGGCCTCAAGGACTAAGGTCCAATTTCACCAACGTCGCTTAACTTTAAGCTTAGTTTAATTCGTTCTTTGTCTCTTTCCAACTGTTACTTTAGGCAGAAACAAACGTGAATTAAAGATTAAAGTTAAAGTGACGTTTGGTGAAACCGGGCCTTAGTCCTTCAAATTTGTGTTCATCACGTTTGAGCCATGCGAATTTTATTAATTTGTTTATTAGAGACACTTCGCTATTTTGTATAATTGCACAACGATATCCTTTCGCAAGAAAAAGACAAACGTATCCTCGGTTTAAAATCCGTTACTCCTCCCCGTAGTCCGACTGCGAGGGCGCGGACTGCATCGATGTGGAGAACGATACTCTCGACGAGGAGGATATCGAGACCGTGCTCGACAGTCACAATCTTTATCGCGTCCTGGTCGCGAACGGCAGGGAATACCGTGGAAATCCCGGACCGCAGCCCGCCGCGAGGACCATGATGGAATTGGTAGAAAAATGGACGGAACGCGCGCGCGACACGCGCGCGATATTTAATCATTTATCCCGGAGCGCGGTAGACGGCATCTGAAGCATCATTTGTTTCGACAGATCTGGGACGACGAACTCGCCGTTATAGCACGTCGATGGGCGTTGCAGTGCAAGCTCTTCGAGAAGGATCAGTGCCGAGACGTTGGCAAGTAACTTCGACGGATATATCTCATTTTTCATCCCTTCCCCCCCGCGCCGCGCGCCGTTATTTTTCAATATCCAATAACCCGTGCAGACGCGAAATTGTTCTACCGATACAACCACCGAAACGCGCGCGCGCGCGCGCGCACCGTTATGTATATATAATAAGACCGTGCTCGCGATTCTCTAGTCAGTCTAGTCGTCTAATCGAGAGTCTTTGGATTTCAATTTCAAGCTTGTTCGGAGCTCGTAGATTTTAGACGATCAGTCCGCGCGAAAATAAACTTGGTAAAAATGGATAACGCGACATTCTCAAACGTCCTTAAAACGTCAAACATTTTCCTCGTAATTACCGCAGTTTCGTTGTCCGCAAATTTGAATAATCAAGCTAGAAGTATAATTATTGTCAAGAGAAATGAGCAATCTCGTTTTTGTTCTCAATACGAGGTCGAGGATATCTTATTGAAACAAGTCGCTTGTTGCAGAACGATTTGGAGTGTGGCAGAATGTAAATGCGCTCGACATGGACAGCGTGGAAAATGGCACGAGTAGGGAAAGAATTCACTTTCATATTACATCGTGGTACGATGAGGTGGAGGACTTTGACAACGCGGAAGTCGGGTAAAACTCGAAAGTGCGCACAGTATATGTACATATATAAGATACACAGGATGCCCCATATTTTAGCGAGATACCTTTCATTTATATGGATCGTTTGACCAATTTCTCTTTGACGAATATCGATGGAAGATCGTTTATTTGTTATTTGTCGCATGTTCTCAATTTTCAATAATGAAGATCTCTTATTTACTCACTTTCGACAATATTAAAATTAAATTTATACAAAGTCGAATCGTTTGAAATTAAACGCAACGTTTTCATTGGGTATCCATTGTCAGACTTCCGAGCGTTCGAACAATCCGCAGTTTTCAATCGTTTGTAAATTTGAAAATTAATGCTCTCGGAATTGTCAAAAGGAAACTTTGATATCAAGTTTTCTCTCTATAAGTAAAAGACAACTGGCTGGATAACGGGACATATGCCGTATACACAAGTCGCGCGTCAAAATTCGTCACGGATACACGCACGATTTCCTTATGTGTATGGTATATAGGTCGATAGTAATAGCGTCCGCGAATCACAATGCTGTCGAGAAAAAGGGTACAGTAGCTCTAGCCCGAGTTGATCGGAACGGCTCCTTTGTGCCGAGAGACTCTACTATCCCTTTGTGTATGGCCGATGTTCGACCCGGCGTGTAGACACAGCTAACTCGGTCCCCCGAATTTTAGGGGAAGGTTTGCAGTTACCGCTAGCTCTGTTCTTCGCTGCCCTCCTTCCCCCTCCCCCGCATCTTTCCGCGATCCACTGTTTCATCCCACATATCCACCCTCGTTTCTGCTTTCGCTCGCGATCGCGGTACCCTCATGGGATTCAGTGCTGGTTTTAGGAATCTCGGTACCCCGAACGGAGACCTCTACTTCCTCTCTGCCGTTCCTCCGTGGTTCAAATAAGATTTAAAAAAAATAGAATAAGCTAAAAAGACTTCGAGCATATCCGTACCCTTCATTTTTCTTTAATATCAATAATCTCTCGAACACGCGGTAGAATTTATAAAATTTTTACTTGTAGCCTTTCGTGTCGATCGAAATAAGTGTAGATTTTATAATATAAATATAATGAACCATCAAATTAATTCTAAAGTATCAAAGGCATTTTGTTCCACTTTCTTAAGTTTATTGGAAAGAAACAATAAATTGGTCTAGTTAAAGCAATTTGGTTCTTAAATTTGGAGAGAGGCTACTTTTCCTCAAAGATGGTTAAATTAGTGTCGACACTCTCTTGCGGTACCTGCTTCTCTTGGCGCGTCTGTGCGCCGCACAGCAGCTCGTTTCGATCACACTTTAAAGTCGGTATACTGCGAGAGGTTTACGGGCGCCGAAGGAAGAGGAACGGAGGGATGAAGACTTGACCGTCAGGGAAAATGACCGAACACCGATTGTATAGGACAGAGGGTGAAAATAGACGAGTAGCGGATGGTGTTCTTCTTCCGTCGCCGAGAACAATCAAAATCGCGTATTCTCTCGGCAAATTGGAAATCGAGAGTGCTATTGTACCGGTCCAAATTACTCGATACTCCGGTATACTCTGGTCCCCCCAGCAACTACGAGCAAGCCTCTGTCGTTTTTTATTATTTCGGTCTGATAGAAAAAATGGTTTCAATTTCCTACAGGACACATGAAAATGTGATACAATCAGACTTTGAACTTTAACCTTGTAAAACGTGCTCGTAAGAGACAGAGGGGGGGGGGGGGAGGGAGGGAGGGAGGGAGGGAGGGAGAGAGAGAGATAGTATGTACAAAAGTGTAGCATCCCTATCTCTTTTTGTGTCTACAGCTTTTTATGTCAAATTTTATCCGAATACGTTTGCTAAGCAAATTGGTAATAGAAAAACGTATAAATACGAGGGCCATTTGAAAAGTTTTCGGAATGAAATAGCACTTCCACAATAGACGTCATACGTTAAATGGAAAGTTCCACCTCTTCTTCGAACGCGTGTGAAAAGTTCCAACTTGTTCCATTAAATAACTCATATTTTTTATAGACCTTTTGAACGAACGTATTTACGTGATTTTCGAAAAAGGAATAAACTCGACGTGCATGCTGTGATCAAGTATTTTGTGAAGAAAGGCTTGTTATCAGCAAAATATGCGCAAAACAAGTTTTCTTTGTAAAATACGCTATCATAACGTGCACATTTTTTCTCAAAAATTGCAGATAAAATTGCAAAAATCTATGCAAATAAACTAGCAGGAGTTAGACTTTTCACATGTTTACGAAAGAAGAACTGGAGCTTTCCGTTTAACTAATGACGTCTAATGACGTTTATTGTGCGAGTGTCATTTGTACTTCATTTCGAGACTTTTCAAATGGACTTGGTATTTACAGAAGTAGCGCTTAATATTTCAAAATATTAGGAGTAAAACGATAGTTTTAATTTATATGGCACTTTTACAGCTTTTCGAATTATCACATACGCTTCGTGCTCTCAAGCGTTCTCAAACGAGATTTTCATTTTTAATTGAATCAGTGAATTTAGAAAGCACACAAGTCCCATTTGTCAAATTTTACAGGAGAGCAATTAAACTGTACAACTACTTGAAAAACTCGATTTCACGCGGCTTCTTGAGCTCAATCCTTGAAAGCTACTCTACAGAAACATAATCTGACAATTGCGCCGAGCCTAGGCAAGTCCATTTATGCAATAAAGTCCATTTCGAAAACTTGGGACTTATATGGTTCTTCCAATCACCGATTCAATTATCTTCACGTTCCCTCGTAAAACTTAATAATCTCCTATATTCGCGGCTATCAAGATGAATCTATAAGAGGCGCGTTAATCTCTCGAATCTTACGAGAGCATCTCGAATTATGAAGAGACCCGTCCTAATTTGAATTCAAGTTGCGCGTCAATGGAGAGGGCTCGAGGCACGAGGCTGGCTGTTGGCCGTCCACCTTCATTTAGTCCAGATAATCGTGCCTTTCAGACTAGTGAACTATTCTAGCATGCCGTGGCAACTCTCCTCTTACATTCCCCTCGCATCGGCGACGTTCATTTACGTTGGTTGCGGCCGCGCGATTTACACGCTCGACTTGAACAAGACCGCGGCGACGCCCGGTGGGTTTGGGAATCGGGTCGAAGTACTCGTGTGTAATTACGGACCCGTCGATCGCACCGCACCTCGCCAGCTCTACAAGCTCGGTCGGCCGGGCCTGTGCCCGCTCGGGACCATCCCCAGCGAACATTACCAGTCCCTTTGTAGTAAGTATTATACAAGCCCTGTCTTACGACACTTGGAGCTTAGGCTAAGGCTTAGGCTTCTCGATTTCGAGAAAAATCGAGGGGTAAACCGCTGA